CCTTAAAAGTCCACAAGCACTAGTGCCTAAACCATAATAATCCAAATAAGTAAACATTTTCAAAAAAGGCCCACACACTATGGAGAAAAAATCCCACATCTTTACTGGGGAAAAAGCAAATGTTTTGGTCACAACATGACCATTCAGTGCCTAAATCAATTGGACTAAAATGGATAAAAATCCCATAGACTTACATTGGAAAAAAAGAGGCCTGAAATGTGTAGCCTCTTTTAACCTGGACCATTAGAGTGCAACAGAAGTAAAAATCACAGTCATTTTCTCCATAGGTGAATTGGTAACTTGCTAATGATAACTTATAATATGTTAAAGACAGACATGCTGTGAGGTTGTTAATTGATGGTATATGCTTTTGTTGAAGCCTTCCATTTGCATTATTTCAACTTATTCTTAAAATAATCATGTTTAACACTGCTGAAAAACTGCATTATGAGAGAAATATCCACCAGTCAGCGTATCGAAACAAGCAAGTCACACTGTGTTGCGTGATTAAACTTTGTTTGGTCCAAAAACTCCTAAAAGCAAGGCCGCTGAAAAAGTGAGCAGACACTAATGCGCTCTGTATGAAACCATATGGCAACCAACCCACAAAAGAGCACTTGAGTAACTGCATGTCCTGGCTCATACTCACAACAATCTAGCATCGCGGTGGCAAATTTCGGTGAAAGCAAAACCCCACATTATCAGAAAATGTACAAATGAGGTTTCAAGATGTCTAATCACACCTCTAATGCCTCAAAATGTAATTCTCACAAATGCAGCTCTGTTCGTGATCACACTTTTGAGCAGTGTCGGGGAAAGTTACTTTTAAAAGTAATGCATTACAATATTGCGTTACTCCATAAAAAAGTAACTAATTACGTTACTTAGTTACTTTTTATGGACTTTTTATGGAAAGTAATGCGTTACGTTACTTTTTAAATCTGGACAGGGCTTGCTTGTTTGTTTTAAAATAAAAAAGTTATATTTTTGGCAAATATAAAAGCCTTTTCACACCAAAAGTGAAATGAATAAGCCTCAGGCTGAAGGGAAAGTAAATTTACGTCCGTACAGTAGAATGCAGAAGAAGACATTTCAACACACTTCAGCAATAAACAAAGACACACAAATGTTCGTCTAGAGTAATTTGTGCTTATTAGTATGATTGAACTGGATCATCGAAGGTCAGAAGCAAAGACACTGGTTAATAGAATAGGATTAAATACATAAAGGATATTTGTGTTGTTTAGCATTTAATTATTGCAAGTTTGCGTCATATTCTGAGTTGCATTTTTTTAATTAATTTTGAGGAATAATGAATCGTTTTTTTTTGTGAGTGAGATAATGCATATTCATATTTATTTTAGAACTACAGTAACATCTTCTGATTTCTCTCAACATGGGGACAGTTTGACAGGAGAGCTGTCAGTCAATAAATTGGAAAAAAAAAGTAACTTGCGTTACTTATTTGAAAAAGTAACTCCGATATTCTCTTGTAAATTAAAAAGTAATGCGTTACTTTACTAGTTACTTGAAAAAAGTAATCTGATTACGTAACTCGCGTTACTTGTAATGCGTTACCCCCAACACTGCTTTTGAGCAACATTTAGAAATAAGGTGATTCAGTAAAAAGAACAATGCCCTGCAGTCGAAGGTCACTGCTGCTGAGTGCTGAGAGTTTAGGCTGATAGCCAGAGAGAATTGAGTGAGCTAAGTGATGCTTGCAGGTGTGTGTGTGTGTGTGTGAGAGAGAGCAGACAGGTGGAGCTATTAGAAACACATCTTGCCCTATGTGTGCACAGGTATAGGCTACTTCAAACCTTATAATATATAGTAATAATATATAGTATTAATGACATAAAAAGCCTCTTTTACATTTATAATGTGTTGTCTAACATGCTAAATCACATGTAATTATAACATGTGCACATGATATGATTATATTTCACTGTATGAATGAAAATTTACATTTAATTTACATTTCTGACATATTACAGCAGAAATTATTTGGATGTGTGTGTTCGTGGTCTGTAAACATTGATTGAATTATTGTGTTGGTACATTGTGACTTTGATGTAATGAAATAATCAGTGAACAGAGGGGTTTTGTTCTTACCTCTGAAGTCAGGCCATTATCTAATGCTGTTTAGATAGCACACAGGTGAAGTCTCGCTGCTAAAGTCCCTTTGATCCTTCTTCAGGCACACACACACACACACACACACACACACACACACACACACACACACACACACACACACATATATACACACACA